TCCACTCTTGCTTGCAGTTACAAAGTTCACACAAGTTGGAAAACGCTTTCTATTGTTCCTACGTGAGTTCTTATAATATCCAGCAATAGACACCCAATTATTGCTTTGCCTCATATGCAGTATTCTCCATGGACATAAGGTGTGAATCACAGCAACTTGTTCCAAATATTGTGTATTTTAAATCTCTAAGGTTATTATTGTGTGCTTCTTTTCATGGGTGCATGTAGATAACTGTTATCAAAAATACCTGTACATTATTCAGTTAATAACATCCGCCCAGATTCAGTGCTTGTGGAATAGTGGACACAGTAAAATTACTAACCTTCCTGAAAGCACTCTATTCCCTGAAATTGATCAACATGGTAATCGGGGAGGTGAGGGGGGGGGGGATAAAAAGCTGCTTTAGTAGGTCAAAGCAGGAGCAACAACAAGGTTCTGCTGACCCAAACGGTCAAAGCTCCAGTGTTCATTTTGACATTTATCCAAACAGCTTCAAATGTGTGTCGTCTTATGTTATGAAACAATATCCTCAATTTGAATAAAGTCGTTGTCATAACCAAACTTAAAATGTGTTTTTTTCAAGACTTAACGCTTACAAATATAGATCAAAATGTGACATTTAATTTAAACACTATTTTTTTTTTCATAAATGATTATGTGTATCTTTGTTCGATACATTTTAACTTTTGGACACTCAGAGCTATTGGAAATGTTTGCATTACACAAGTCAGAAACAATCCTACGCAGCCACCACTGGAAGCTAATTCTACAAATACTAATAATATTGTTGTAGCCTGATCGTCTTTTTGCAACGGTGTGCAAATACAGAGTTAAAAGAATGAATAGACATGTTGCACAGCGGTTTAATGTTTATTTAGAAAACGAATGCAAACATGTTCGATGAAGCTTCAAACTATTTGGTATAACCATGCAATGATGCTGTTCCTGATTCTGAAGAAAACCCACTGAAAACATGCTCTTTCCCTCTCTCTAGGTGAGAAGTGTCCGAGTACTTGTATGGGAAAGGCAGTGGGCGACAGTGACGTCTGGTTCCGGTTCAACGAGGGCATGTCCAACGCCGTCAGACGAAATGTCTACATCAGAGAACTACTGTAACACACACACTGACAAACACACATTACTGCCTGTATTTTATATGTAAGGGTCTGAATAAATCCAAAATCCAGCTGTTAAATTCCAAACAGTCTTTATTTTGATTGACAGTGTAAAGAGCCAATAAAAACGAGTTGTTGAACATTTCTCAGCATTCCATGAAAACAAAACTCTAGAAAGCTACTCAGTGCTACACACTCACACACACACAGTAGTCTTAACATAAATTAAAAGCATTCAGAAGTCTCCCAATAAATAAACATAATAGCAATAATATGTGTGTGTATGTGTGTGTGTGTGTGAGAGGGAGAGAGAGAATGGGTGAGTTAGTGCAGCGTGGGATTGCATGGTTCTTTGCTTATATGCATCCGTGATTGTGTGTCTATGTGTAGTGTGCGTGCGTGCATGAGTGTGTGACCATTAGAGGATCACACACTTGCCCTTCTCCACCCAGGGGTTGGCTCTCATCAGCTCAGGGTTCAGAAATGGATCATCACACACACACCCCTCGATCCACTTCACCAGCCTACAAAAATAAAACACATAAACACACGGTAAGCACGGAACTGATACTGAATACTTAGAGAGCGTCTGTGTGTGTGTGTGTGTGTGCACTCACTCGGTGACGGTGATAGAGGATTTCTCTCTGTTGATTGCCAGCTGATACTGTAGGCTTTCTACTTCTCTCCTCATCTGTGGGACGTCTAATTCCTCCATGATGCAACTGCTTTAAACACACAAGAACATTTACAGATTTAAAACGAAGACACAGATTTACCACAAAAACGTATCTGGAATTCAAAAATACAATGTTTTGTTGCAATTTAAGAATCATTCTCAGGGTTTGTACAAAGTCTGGAAAGTTCAGGATATTCTTGACTTCTCAAACCAAAAGTCTTGAAACATGTCTAAATTAAACAATCTATCATATTTGTTAGTTTTTTGCTGCTAGCTAACCATTAAATAGTCATGATAAAACATACTATCAATGGTAATACGAACAGATGGTAAAATAACAAAAGGGCTGCAGTTATAAAGGGATTCTGTAACCTTTCTTTACAATTTTCATCGTTTTATATTAATCATTTTTTTAGGCCCTAAAGAAAGAAAAAGGCAGATTTGATGTAAATTACACTGAAAACTGTGACTGTTTGACCTGAAGCAGAAATATTTTTTCTTTCCTCTTAAGTCACATCGTGACCTCTTGGTGGGAACCACTTGAATTTATATCTGAGGAAACCTTATAAAGACCAGATGGTCGCCACTTTGGAGAGTTTCACTGAACACCAGAGGGAAGTGGTTAATGGGACATATTCATGTAGGAATAGATGCTGACAAAATGCCAAGATTACCCTTATTTGAGACCATATGTAACTTGCTGTGGGTAGTTTACATATTGTCAGTAGCAGGAATAGTGAAGGAGATTCTCTGTTTATTATATAAATTAGATTAGAAGGAAAAACGTTGCAATAATTCGAAACAATTCTAACTCAAACTATTTGAATAACTGCGAAAAACATACACTGTATATATCAAGTGTGAAAATGGCAGATAAAACTGTTCCTAATATCATATAAGGCTGAACCACTTTGGATTTTTACTACTAAAACAAAACTTTTAAAGACGTCACCTTGACTTTAAAAACTGTACTGTTTTCTGATATTTTTTAGGACAAACAATTAATCTAAAAAATTATCTGAAGATGGAAATAACTGTAAAATGCAGACCCAGATTTAATAACAAGCGCTTTGTAGGTCCATCTGTAGAGGAAACACACTTTGGTTACTGTGGCTGTCACACAAATGTAGTGTAATAAAACGATCAAGTTGCATCTTATTATTATACACAACTTGACTATAAAAACATTACAATTGTACTTAAGCACACTGCTAATGCAAAAACACTTTGCTGGATGTTTTTAATGTTATTTTTTAATGGACAGATGTAGAAACAAGGCTAACCGCCTGTGTTTTCTGTCTTATATTTCTACTTAAAGTACATTATGCCCCACCCTGCCACAGGCCACATAACAGCAGGAAGAGACATGGAAAGAGAGAGGGCCCAGATGAGAGTTGAGGCCGACCAGGGATCAATTTAGTCCTCTCTACTGGAAACTGTGTCTCCCTCCTCCTCCTCCTCCTCCCTCATCCTCTTCCTCTCCTTCATGGATCTAAGCAGTCTGCTGCCTGGTGCCTGATTCCTCCTCCAGCATCCATCCTGCTGTCTCACCAGCAGCCAGCTGTTCCATTAAAATGGCCTTCATAATTTCATGATAACATCCTCCAAAATGTACCACAATGACATCAGCCCTCATCACTCAGCAATCAGGGATGTTTCAGGCTGCTAATCACACATGTACATTAAGCCGATTATAACGCACACATCCGCGTGTAGGAGGATAAAGCGAGTATACATGGTGGCTGTGTGGCTAACACATCGAAACATCAGCTCCAACGCATTTGTATCGTGATTTCATGTCAATGAAAACGCACAACCCCCCCCCCCCACACACACAAACAACCGCTCTTACCGTCAGGCCTACCGGAGAAGACCGAGGGTCGATTTTGCGTGAAGCCGGCTGAACTGAAGGGGGGTGCAGACGGGGCTTCGGCAGCGACAATAACAGCTGAGAGTCGGTGGAGTTTCTTCGGCAGAGGGTCCGGCTTCAGTGCAGGAGGAGGAAGAGGAGGAGGAGGAGGAAGAGGAGGAGGAGGAGGCTGTGTGTGTGTCGGCGGTCCGCGAGGCAGGGCACTCCCCTGCGCTGCTCTCTGATAGCGACTGGATGCGGGATGCGCAGGGCGGGAGGAGCCGCCTGCTTTCAGGCAAAGCAGGCTGGAGCCGAGCACCTGTATGGAAATCAGGACACACTGAGGCCGGGCACTGGCTGGAAACATGCAAATAATGAGGACAAGAGATCCAAAGGGAAAACAGACCGGGAGATTTATTTTCAGATCACCGTGGAGGTCGGTTTCTATGGTAACTACGATAGATTCCCCAGAGGTCTGCGGTAAAATTAGAAATGAGGATCAAAATCCCGTTTATTGCCAAGTAGGGTTTCATACACAACTAAAGGAATTTGCTTCGGAGAGCTGGTGCTTGGACATAAGCACTGAATATAACATTAACTATTTAAAAATGTTAAAATGTGTAGGCTAACTGTTGAAAAAAGAGAGCAAGAAAGGAGTGTGCAAAAATATACTGCAGGGAAGTTTTCAATCATTCATTCCTTAAGGGACCCCAGCTATATCTTTGAGTAAACTACAGACCCCTGACTTACATTAAAGGAAATGTTATGGATATATCAATGCGTACCATTAACTGCAGAATTGTACATTTAGACCAAAAAGTCAAACCAATATCTGAAGCTAGTTTATGTAAAAAAGAGCGAGTTATAGCCTAGGCCTATACATTTTTTTTTCCAGCAATGAATACTGAATCAGGGGATAGTTTGTTTTTGAACAAAACACACTTGATGAATTGGTGCACATAAAGAAATACAGAATGATCAAAATTATACATTAGGTTTATGTATTATCGTAAACAGGTTACAGTTACAAGTGATAAATCTGAGTCAGGTGTCTTATCTCTGGTTGCTCATTGACCCCCACTTTATATTCACTCCAAATCTGAAAGGCCTGTGTCTCAAAGCTAAGGCAAAAAAAACAACGCTGCTAATCCGCCTAATTTCATAAATAGAAACCAATATGTATAAGAAATCTCAGAATAACTTTATTCCCCCTCAGGGATGCAAACTCATCAGGTATGAAAAAGGTGACAAGGATCCGAGCCCCCCGACCCCACGGAATATCGGCTTTAAAATGAGGAATAACAGAGGATTTTAGCAGTCAGAACAACTAAAGCAGCAGTTAATAATAACAGAAACGCCAAAGAGTCACATCTAATAGAAATATATTTAAGCATTTATTTTAATTGTGTAGCAGTCAGTTTATAATTTTGGCAGGACTGTTGAGCATTTTGAAAATGTATTTTCATGCCTCTGTGCAAGGCTGTCTTTCTATCTTTATAGCCAGTGGTGTAAAGTAACTAAGTTCATAAACTCAAGTACTATACTTGGGTACAATTTTTAGATACTTGTACTTTATTTAAGTATTTCAATGTTTTGCTACTTTGTTCTTCTTCTCCTCTACAGTTCAGAGGTAAATGGTGTACTTTTACTCTACTACATGTATTGAATACCTTTAGTTACTTCACAGATGTGGATGAATGATGTGAAATATAATCAAGTGTTAAATCAGACTTTAGTTCCACCTGGAGTAAATTCACAAGCTACCCTGCAGTATACAAAGTCATTCAAACTGGCTGCACCTTTACCAGCTTTGAGAACACTTTCATGATCAATCATTATAAAACATATCATATATATTATTCTGAAATGGACCAATCTGCACAATGACTACTTTTGCTGTTGCTACTTTAACTATATTTTGATAATACTTTTCTACTTTTACTTGAGGAACATTTTGAATGCAGGACTTTTACTGTAACAGAGTATTCCTACACTCTGGTACTTCTACTTTTACTCAAGTACAAGATCTGAGTACTTCTACTTTTACTCAAGAACAAGATCTGAGTACTTCTACTTGTACTCAAGTACAAGACCTGAGTACTTCAACTTTTACTCAAGAACAAGATCTGAGTACTTCTAAAGTACAAAATACTTATACCACCTCCGTTTATAGGCTATGAAAGAAACTATTTGAAAACGAAGGCTAAAGCTAACGTTAGCAGATAGTGACAATGTATGCTAGTTAGCTAGCTCAACGATTCATTAAATAATATTGCGACAGAAACACTTTTCAGTGCACATCACGCTCTGCTGCTCCGAACACCCCGTTCTAACCAGCGGTCCAGTCTGTGCCACAGTGACTCTGGACCGCACAGTTAATATTAACGAACGCACCGTAGGTAATGTAGCTGCTGAAGCTAGACCCTCATCCCGAGCAGCAGAGCCTTATTATACATCCATGAGCAGAGCTGACAGGCAGGAAGACTTGTGCTCGCGCTTCATTATAATATATAAAAAAAGAACACCATGCGTGTCATGATGGCACATAACAGCTCGCGGCCGCAGATTACTCCGGGTCCCAGACACCCCCATACCCCAAAAATATTTTTATTGCAGATCTACATGAATCACACAAACTACCTATTTTGGAATCAAAACGGCGAATTTCGCCGAAAGGTGACAAGTTTGCATCCCTGCCCCCTACTGTAATTGGTACAAACTTGTTTATTAACAGGCATGTCCATTATTTTAGAACAGGAGCTAGGACTGCACCTCCAACTCTTCAGTTATGCAAATCCAACTGAGTCAAATTGCAGATTGTGCCTTTGAGACGTTTTTGCATTAGAAGCGAGTTTAACCGACCAGTCAGAAAACAGTTGACAAAATTATTTTATAGAGTTTATTTGTCAAAACAGTTACCAGACACCATTATATTGTCCTTCATTAAACAAAGAGTTGTAGTTTCATCATTCATCTTGCTTGAGGGCAGCAGTTTTCTGGCCAGTGAAGACAAAAAGGAACCTGAAAAAAGAAAAGACAAATACAGATCAGGCCGGAACAATCTGCATGACAGACAGAACTGCGATAATTTTAAGCCTCAGCTAAAAGTTCGAATCAGGAGCTAAAAGCTCTCATACGAGGTGTCAGAAAAGTATTTGATTTGTCATCATTGGCTGTGTGATATTAATGTGCAACATAAAAGACTTACCATTCAAATAAAAGTCCATCACCAGCTTTCAGTCATCAGCAGAATCATGTGGTAACTTTCCCATTTGTTGACTCGTGCATAAACCTGTAAGCATAAACCTGTAAACAGAAAAGCTCAGTTTTAAAATTCACATAAAAACCACAAATGTGTTTCTGCATTTACTGTGGGAGCCTCAGCCAAAAGTTAGAATCAGGAGCTAAAAGCTCTCATACGAGGTGTCAGAAAAGTATTTGATTTGTCATCATTGGCTGTGTGATATTAATGTGCAACATAAAAGACTTACCTTTCAAATAAAAGTCCATCACCAGCTTTCAGTCAGCAGAATCATGTGGTAACTTTCCCATTTGTTGACTCGTGCATAAACCTGTAAACAGAAAAGCTCAGTTTTAAATTCACATAAAAAAACCACAAACGTGTTTCTGCATTTACTGTGGGAGCCTCAGCCAAAAGTTCGAATCAGGAGCTAAAAGCTCTCATACGAGGTGTCAGAAAAGTATTTGATTTGTCATCATTGGCTGTGTGATATTAATGTGCAACATAAAAGACTTACCTTTCAAATAAAAGTCCATCACCAGCTTTCAGTCAGCAGAATCATGTGGTAACTTTCCCATTTGTTGACTCGTGCATAAACCTGTAAACAGAAAAGCTCAGTTTTAAAATTCACATAAAAACCACAGAAGTGTTCCTGCATTTACTGTGGGAGCCTCAGCCAAAAGTTCGAATCAGGAGCTAAAAGCTCTCATACGAGGTGTCAGAAAAGTATTTGATTTGTCATCATTGGCTGTATGATACCATGTGCAACACTAGAAACAAACTTACCATTAAAATAAAAGTCCATCACCAGCAGAATCATGTGGTAACTTTCCCATTTGTTGACTCGTGCATAACCCTGTAAACAGAAAAGCTCAGTTTTAAATTCACATAAAAACCACACATGTTCCTGCATTTTCTGTGGGAGCCTCAGCTAAAAGTTCGAATCAGGAGCTAAAAGCTCTCATACGAGGTGTCAGAAAAGTATTTGATTTTGTCATCACAGGCTACAAATAATTCAAATGCTGACATATTGCACGGACTCACCAGGTCTCAAACTCAGCGAGGTCATAGCTAACCAAGAGCTTCCATCTCAGGAGCGTGTGAAACACAGCAACCTCAGATCTTTGTCCGATAGCTATGAAGTTTATTCTGTGGAAGCCATCTTCAAATCAGATTCATTTTCTGCTCCTTAGCCTTCATGCAAGTCACCCAGGCACCATTCCCAGCTGGAATCCATACAGCTTACTGGATAGAGGGAAAGAAAGGCAAAGGTCACGAATAAGTTCCAGCTGCCCCAGTTGTAATGTTATTTAACCATTTCGATCCTACACGGTAACTGTGACATTAACACATATGCCTCAACCAATGTGCCTGCAACTGGAGTGTGTTCTTTATTCAACTACACATTCTTATGAAAGACAAAAGTTATATCTAAAATCTGAAGCGGCAACTTACTCTAAACTTGTTTTGAGTATAGATATAATAATCCTATATCTATACTCAAAACAAGTTTAACGTTAACTTAATGAAACACCCTCAAAAAACACCACGTGCCAGCTCTGGCCCATGAAGAACATCCACGTGTTGCTGGCAAAACTGTAGTTGTACAGTATTTAGCACACACAACGTATTCCACATATCATCATAATGCTCACCGGTCAGGCTTGCTGCAGAAAAACTGGACAGCTTTTTGCTTCCAATGGGTAACATTTGAAGAAACCTCTGAGAGGAGCATCGTGAGTTCTTTCCTGCTGCCATGCTGCATGTAGAAGAGGACGGAAGAACCGGTGGAGATGAAGTTAAGGGCTTCCGTCTAACGCGAACCGGAAATCCCTCCCCTTTTAAATAACGTTAGCTAGGTAGCTATTTCCTAGCTAGCTAGCACTTTTCGTTGGCCTTTCTGAACTAAAACTGGAGACATACTGATGAGACTTTGTCCTCATATCCCTTGCTTACCAAACCTTCAATTATTGCAATAGACACACACACAAACGTCATTTAAAAAAAAGCGAAAACAACGAGCATAGTGTGTGCACCGACATCGCAGGCCTTACGTCAGAGCCTCATGGTAGTTGTAGTTTTTAAATGTCAGGATGCTAAAACAATTACACTCATTTGAATGCTGGTTAAAATGAGCACGTTTTGCAGTACAGTTATAGGTTACCCATTTGTTTATAAGGGAATAACCGGACTATTACATTACATATGTTTCGCACTAATATGAACCTATTACGATTTTAAACTCTCTTTTTGAACTTTGAAACGTTGCAACTGCAGTAAAAAGTAAATAAAAAATCCCAGCCTTTTAAAAGTTAACACACTGTAAACAATTATTTCAAAAGCTGCAATCTCAAACCCCTCATTTAAAGCAATGTTCTTAATCCAATATCATAGGGGATTCTAGTCAAGGGGAGTCTTCAATCGATGATGAGTTGTATGTTTTTTGTAATGTTTCCGGGGTAAAACAACATTCTGAGTACATATTGGCTTTTTATCATACTTGTAGGTGCACATTCCATTCCACTTTGTGTTGACATGTATTACTAAAGGCAGACAATTTCAGTTTTTTGTAATTTGGGATCTGTTTTTTTATAGTAGTTACTGTTAAGACTTTTTGTTTCATTGTGGCCAATCATAGTGGTACAGCATAGCAAAGAGGGCTACTAAACAGGACAAGTTTACCCAGCAATTATTTTATAATTCTGACATTAAAAAAAGTGCCTTTCCTTCTTGGTTTTTGCCTTACTCTATTTAAAATGTTTAGTGTTAAAAATACTTGACTCCCATTACATATAATCTTTGTAGAATGTAAAATCCTAATGTAATTTAACATTTCATTTATCGCTCAAACCAATAAGTTACTGTAACCAAATGGAAAATGTAGAAGCTTATAGTTTCTGACAACCCTTAGCTGTTTAAATCCAAAAGAACAACACTTAAAGCATAATGTATGATTTTATTTATACATTTATTCCGATCACAGCTGTACAGGAATGCATCGTCACAGCAGAAACACAACCTAAACCCAACCATGGCACAACAGCCGTCACAACACTCAACCAAAAATGTACAGGCTCAATCAGCTCACCTCAATTCAATGTCTATAATTATCATCATTATTATTAATATTATTATTCACATAGAACCATCTGTCTCTGAAATATATCTTTGTTTTCAAAGAGCATAAAAATACGTGGACTCTTCATTGGGATGAACACTGGTGGTTGATCCACTGTGTCTGGCCTACATGGGGGAACCACTGAAAACTGGGGAGCTGAGGAGTAGCAGAGCCAATTTATTACAGCTTGCAGGGAGGGGGTGTTGGTTGATTTTAGGGGATCATATAGGACTCACAACTCAGTTTATAAGCTACTTCTGACACACTAGGAGCGACAGTTTGTTACAAAACAGAAAGAAAAACCAACGATAAACATGTATGAGTGGGAGGAAAAAATTCAATAAGAGACAAAGTATAATTTTGAATATATGACAGAACACTACCAAGGCACAGAGAGATGCAGATTTAACAAAACAGACACAGAGGGAGATCAAAAGGGGGAGGGGAGACAAAATGTAAGGTGGGCAGATTAGAGGCAGTTTCACTAACCAACACTAGAGGGAGCTCTAACAGCTCAAATACCCAGGTATATTATAAACTCTATGTATGTATACTTGATGTACTATATAAAGCGTTGAAATATAGGATTATCTTTTAAAAACACTGTTCACTGCAGCAGGACGAAGGGATACACAGCATGAGTGTGCTTGTTTATGTGTCTTTGCATGTTAATGTTAATGTGTGTATGTAAATGTTAAGATTCATTACCGAGCAAACCTCCATAGATGGAGCAGAACCAACATAGCAGAACACCAGCGAGATTAAAACCTGTGTGTGTGAGTGTGTGTGTGTGTGTGTGTGTGTGTGTGTGTGTGTGTGTGTGTGTGTGAGTGTCTCAAAATTCATAGACACACATCTACATTGTCTTACTGACCGTTAGAATAACTACTGTACGGGTGGGAGGACATTGACATGAGCATCAGCAGGGAAATACACACGTTCGTAACGACAACAACGGCAACAATAACAACAACAGCAACAACATCAACATGAAGAGAGACAACACACAGGTCAGGAAATCCGGCTAACCACAATCCTCCGCTCACACAGAAGAGAAATAGAGGCTACGATTCATCTGGAAAAATGCATCCTTTTGAGATCGTAGGGATGGGACAGACTCAGAAAGCGGCCTGTCTGTCGATGTGCTTTTAAAAACTCTCTCATTTGTATGGATCTTATCTTTCTATCGATCTTTCTGTCTGCCTGTCTGCCAGTCAGTTTATGTGCTTCTTTTTTTTGCAAGCAATATGCTTTTCTTTTTGCCTCCCTGTCTGACTGAGTGAGCATCTCTGTCAGTCTGTAAAGATAAAAGGATGATGAACATGATTGTGCTTCTGGGTCCACACAGCTGTGGGAGGCGGCGGCGGCGGCGGTGAGTCACTGGGCTGCAGAGGTCAGAGGTTGTGTGGGAGCGGCCTCCTCGCCATCAGAAGGCGTACTAGAGCTACTGCGCCACACGGAGGACTCCCTCCTCAGTAATATTGTACAAGGCTACATGAGAAGCGCTCAAGCAGGAGGGACACACTCTCAAACACACACTCACACTCTCAGAGCGCCAGTCTCAAGCCTCGGAGAGTTTTCTTGATACACCTACACATGATGAGAGGGAGAGGGGGAAAGGGCTTGTTGGCGATGAGGCGTGGGCCAGTGATCAGTCCAGCATTGCATCCAGTTGGTCTGCCAAGTCGTCAAACATGCTGCCGATGTCGTCCAAGATGGAGACTGAAGACGTTTTGCTGGAAAGAGAGTTTGATAGCACACAAAGAGGAAGAGTTTAGCTCCTAATAAGGCCGACACAGCACAGACACAGTAGTAGTAAATATGATGTTGACAGTGTCAGCTAGTTTGGGATTTTGTTCCCCACCATTGTTAGTTAACATTTCTACGGTCTCTTAATGATTAATAATAATCCAGATGTTCCTTAAAATAGATATAGAATAACCTCCTGGGTAACCAAACAGTACTTTATACTTGGGCTGTCCGCATTTCTTTGTTTTATTTTATGTCATTCTCACCCTGAAAAAATTGTTAAACAAAAATGATTTTGATTAAATGATAGAGCAAACCTTTTTTGACTGTAGGGAAGTTAATGTTGTTTTTGAAAGGCTCGAAAGGTTTTGAATTGACTTGATTCCTGTGAAGCAGCTACAGGAAGTGCAGTGTACTTGTTTGTTTGTGCTGTTAACAGACACACCAGTTGCTTTTGTGTTGCATTTCTCAGTAAATAGCTCATCAGTGTTTGCGTCATGGCATTTGGTTATAAATACTATAACCCTTCCTTTTGTTTCAGTACACATCATCCTTCCATAGCAACTGTTTCTATGGTACAGATGCCAGCCAGAGGCACGAATCAGAGCTGTATTAGTTTTTTGGGTCACTGAACCACAGCTGTAATTCCCCAGTGTATGTAGTTACACTATGGGATTGTCCTGAAACCACAAATTAAGCTTTTAAGTTCTTATATGTCACATACACAAACAATATGTGTTGCAAAATGCAGTGTGGAGGAGATTATAAGAAAACATGTTCATTCTGTGTAAACTATAGGCCTACAACAAAAGCAGGTGTTGAAGCTACAAGCTAGCTGTTTCCCCCCACTTTCAGTTATTATGCTGAGCTAGGCTAACAGTATAGTATTGATCTTCTAGTTTCTAACTTGGAAAGAAAGTAAAATAGCATACTCATTAAAATGTTTGAACTATTCATTTTAGTTTTATGCAGCATATTCCATCCAAGCTTTCAAAGTGCCCAAAACATTGTCTATGCAGAAGATGAGCAGGACATCTCCTTTCATAACAATCGAGCAAGTCCTCTCACTTTCAGCTCCACATTATGTGAGGAAAAGCTCTGTTCATCTCATCATCAACTTGAACGCCAACAAGTAGCCATGACAGATATAAATGGTGGCAAAAAGCTGATTAATAACTTCATAAATACTCACTCATTTTCTGCGTCCTCCTCTTTCATTTTATTTTCCACAGCTTGCACGGCAGCAGCCAAGGAGGCACTGGTCTCCTCCAAACGATGCTGCTCCTCCTCCCTCTCCTGCTTCACTTCCTCTACTTGACTCTCCAGCTCCCTCAGATTCTTCTCCTCCGCCCTTTTCCTCTCCTCCTCCTGCTCCTTGTGCCGTTTGTGCTCCTTCTCTCTCCTCCTCTCCTCTTCCTCTCTCCTCCTCTCCTCTTCCTCCTCCACCTCCCTCGCCCCGATCAGGTCGATGGAGAGGCCGGCGATGGAGGATCGAGGAGGTTTGACCGGGTGTGGAGAGGGCGTGGAGGGACTCTGGGCCGGGGAGGGTGAAGTTATGGGGAGTCCAGGGGAGAGAGAGGGAGCAGAGGGGGTGTCGGGAGCCGGGAGAGGGGCGGTGGCAGGGAGTGGAGAGGAGGGTCTAGGGGCCGGGATGGGGCAAGGAGCCAGGACAGCGCCTGTTGTCGGGGTGGAGCCTGGTGCCGGGGAGGGGCTGGCTGCTGCTGGGCTGGTAGCAGCAGGGCTCATGGGGCTCATGGGGCTCATGGGGCTCATGGCAGCTGAAGCTACTGTTTTCCCGGGTTTAGGGGCTGTCGGGGGTCCGCGGGGTTTTGGGGATACAGGTGGAGGGACACGCTTCGGCTCTGGTCAGAGAGAGAGAGAAAATGCTGTCAGGTTTCTTATTAACGCATAGACTCACATGCATAAAGATTTGTAAGAGATTAGTGCTGGATATTT